CATCTGAAAAATGCTAAATTTAGTGTCTCGAGCGGACTTGGAGATGGAGACACGGACTTGTGTACAGGTCTCTCCATGGCCTCGCACCGAAGTACATTAGTGACATGTTTGTGCCATATGAACCAACTCAGACTCTGAGGAGCACAGGGACGGGCCTCCCACGGGGGCCCGGAGTCGAGACTAAACATGGGAAGTCTGTATTTCAGATTTATACAGCTAAATATTGAACAATGTCCAAATCCAGGTCAAAAACAACTGAAGGATTCACTCTTTTTTATTTACTCTGTATTTATATAATTAATAATTATGATATTAATGCCTCGTATTCTATCTGGCTTTTCTTTGAGTTTCCTTCTGCATGAACTATACACATACACTTACCTTGACTTGCATACCTCTTGTACTGTATGAACACACATTCCAACAGAATATTATTTCAAAGAATCCATTAGCTTTATCATGCATATATCCTATCATCTTCTGGCTCTGATTCATTCCGACATCAGTTCACATTTTATTATTCTAATCCATGTTAACATTGGTGCTTTAGGGGGTGTCTATGTGCTGGGTGAAATGCAAATGAATGGTTCGGGCTTGGTTGCAGTAATTGGGCAGGTGACTGCTGTGAGGGCGCGCATGCAGAGCTCTCGTGCACAAACACTGTATTTTATCATTGTTTGGAAACTGTGGGAAGGAAAACTGCACTTATTCAGATTTAAGGTCGCAGCCAGAGCACATTCTATTCTTGATAAATTTATGTTTTTTTTTGTTATGACTGAATACTGAAACCTTGTACGGTTTAATTGCATTCAAAAGTTTTTGCTGGAATTGATATTTGCAGGGTTGTGGAGCCAAAGAAAACATGGTCCTATTATTTCTAGTACAAACAACACAAATCCTGGTTGAACTTTTTAGGTTTTCCATTAAAAAATGTCTGTATTCATTGCACCCGTACATGCATGTGTAAACCTGGAAACTAACAACGCTTTTTCTTCTTTTTTTCCCCATGTGGCGCTCCCTCTGTCATGGCTACTAAAGGTAAGAAAGCTTTTAGACATGTATTATTCTCAAACAGCATCAGATTGAAGGCGATGGAATGTACAATGTTGCTTGTTAAACTAATGGAGGCATGTTTAATCTAATCTAGTCTGTTAGAGGTGTGCTATGAAAAGAATAATCAATATCTAGTTGAAAAAAAACCATTATTTAATTAGTATGTTAACTAAAAGTGCTTTTTCCCAGATTATTATATGTTATATCAATATTTTATAACCCACACATTGCAAACAACAATCTTCAGTAAATGTACATTGAAATGCATAAACAGTTCGGATTTTGGATACGTATTTTGTTAAAAATGGGTTGGAGCATTGGCAGCCATACAGTAAGTCTTTGTTTATTTCTGAATCTATATTTATAGTTCTATAATATATCTTCTCTGAAATATATCTGAAAGTCCCCCGTTTCTAGATATGTAAAATGTGTCATGCAAGTTACAGGTATGCATTGGCAGGTTCTGAAAGATGCCTAGCCCTACTGTCTGTGCACTACTGTAGAAAAATGTTGATACGATAATATGTCGATACAATCATATGTAGGATTTAACTTTTCATTTCAGCCCATTATTCTTACTGCATTTTAGTAGAAGTCTTAGAATGTCCTACTGCATGTAGTTCCTGTAGACCCTCCACTCTGCCCTTTTGACTTCTACCAACACATGAGCCAAGTCTATTTTATCCTGCACCGTTCTTCTCAGGCCGAAGCGACCTCACCGTGGGGGATTTACCTGGAGCTCGTAGAATAGGGTCACTGTTGCCTCCCCTTAGTGTGTGTTCAAGGGCGAGCAAGCAGGTGGTGGTCCGTCGGCACATCACACCTCTCTGCATTAAAACCCTACTGTAGCATCAGTTAAAGTGCTGCAGGAGGAGTAGGAAACGGGGCCACAATGTCCAGGGTAATTATATGAGTAAATTACATAATTCTTTGCCCTTTGTGTCTTCATAGCATAGTTAAATTGGGTGTAAGTGGTTGAGACGCTGATATGTGTGGTATTTGGAGTTATGATTATAGCAAATAACAAATATCCTGTGTGAGGTATGACAATATCGGCAATGGTGCCCCAGCTTTTGATAGAATTAAAGCTGGATTAACCAACTATGTAAAATAAAAAAAGTAATAATATAATTATGTTATATAATCGTTCCTGTCTAAGCAGTTTTGTTCCATCACAAGTTTTACATGCATGTATTTTTGGTCCCAATTGCTTTTTCAGACTACAAAGTAAAAAAAAAAAAAAACCTTCACACAGTTAATCAGCTCTCATGTGATGAAGATGAACACCGCATGTTGTGGTCTAATTTGTTAAAAATCATGTATTTTTTAATGACAAAAGTTAGGTACAGAGCTCCCTTACCTACCCTTAAACAAATGTAGCCTTCCTTACACAAATAGATAGTCAACATTTTGGTCTATCATGCCGCAAATGAGTCTTCTCGGTCTTTCAATCCACACAGTATACGTCTCGTTTTACAAAAAAAATTACTTTCTTTAAAATGGTTTTTCGTACATGAGAGCAAGTACATTTAAAGCTGATTCATTTTTTTTTTTTCTCGAAGCACCTGTTATGAAAGTGTTTTTTTTGGCCACAATTATCATTCTATGGAATTGTCTCATCCATATCCTTTTCAAATCAATCCAATGAATTCATATTTATTTACTGGTGTAGAATTATCATGATTCTCGCTCAATATCCCAACAGCTAAAGTATTCTATTCCTCTGCCATTAGCTGTGTTCCTGCTGCTGCCCTCCTCTCTAGCCATTCAGCTACAATTCTTCTGCTGCTGTTTTACTGAGTTTAAATGTATCAGGCATCCAGCGGAGGCCTCTATCCTCAATATTCAAGCTAGAACAAATTAATGACTGGAGCCGGGTGGGTTTAACTGACAGGATACAGAAATGTAACAACCCTCAACTCCTGGTGATGTTTGGGGCATGACTGATTCAGAGAGAGTGCATGTAATCTTTCACTTAGGCTCTGTGAAATCACTTCTACCAGTGATTGTCTGACAGTGGTACACAAGCTTATTCATGTTTTAGTCCATTTTTTGGGTGAGTCTTGTTTTAGAGTTATGTGGTTTAGGCCGTGTAATTTTTTGTTGACCTGAAATCATGTCAAATAGAAAAATCACTCAAGACTACATACTGTTGGATTTGGCTGTCATACTGTACCACAAATGTAGTAGCACTCAAAACAGAGCAAAGGACCATGATCTGTGCATTACTGTTGCTTTGTTATCACTTGTAAGAGTTGCCAGTCCAACTTCAATGACTGATATGTTTGTCTTCTAGCTGATTGCTGTACTTCTCTCTCTCAATAACTCTGCGTACACTGCAAGATAAATAGATCCCTGTGCTGAACTAATGAAAGAATTATGATGTAGATTTGACGTCTACATGATGAGCTCAATTTGACCTTTTCACGATATTGTAGAAGGTATTCAATGAGACATCTGTGCGCTCCTTTACAATAATATCACAGCTATAAATAGTTCTTGTTTTCTAAAAAATGTCGTTTACCCTTTTTACTGAGATTTGTCTCATGTCTGCAACATTTTGTAACAGACTTTTTCTTTTTTCTTCTTCTAACCATTTCTTCATACAAATGTTTATAACCCTTTTTGGCAAGAGGGTATTTTTTCAATGCAGTGACGGATTAGTAATGAAGGATAGTGGTTGTAAAAATGATACAAATTAAACCATAAATGCACAGATTAAAATGAATGCCTCAATTTGTACATAAAACTATCTTTCTGTGTTCACATTTTCCTCCTCCTTCCTTCCTCAAAAGGGTTATTATTAAGACCATTCCCATCAGATTATAAAGGGTCAGAAAGTCCTGATGTCCAGAACATAGGTCAGTTCTGGACTGGTCTTGATTGCTCTAAAATGAGACAATCCAAATACAATGGTGAATGATTTCTAAAAATACTTAGGTTTTTTGACTTTGGCTTTAAATATGTCAGATGAGCCTGAATACAAAACACAGAGTTGACGGGGGACATTTTTTTGTGATGTATTTTTTAATCTGGACCATGTGTCTGTAATAAGGTTTAATAATTGAAGCCGCAAGCGGCGATGGAAGCCCTTGCCCCTTTTGCAACCGCCAGATTGCAAAAGGGGCCAGATCTCAGTTGTATGCACAGTTTTATTTTTCCCATATGGATGCAAAGATTTGACCCTGCGACTTTGGCACAGATTTGAACATGTTTAGGTTCGAGGTCTCCCATACTAGAGCGGACTCTAGAGTTCATGTTGAACCCCAGTTATTTCAGAATGTGCTTTATCAGAAACTGGTGTGTCACCGGTGGCCTGGTTGGGTATTGTGGCCCTAAGGTAATAAAACCATGGGAAATTCACTGCTGCCTGGTATGAAAACGGTGATGAAATTCTAACTTTTTTTCTGTATGTGAATTTTGTGTACCTACTCTAAAAAAAGCATGTCTGGCTCCTGTAGGCTTTGCAAATTTTAAATTTCCATGGGGCGCATGCATTGGACAATATCAAAACGTTCATTTTATGAAATTTTTCACCAAATCAGTCGCATTAGGGCTAAATATCAAATCCTTTTGGCGGAAATAATAATAATAATATGAAACCGGCAAAATACAATATCCCTCTCCAAAACTATTTTCTCAGGCTAATAATATGAAACCGGTGAATAACTATAATATCACTCGCATTTAATCAATGTACACATAAAGGCTTATATAATATTGATATTTCCGCTTACCACAAGAGATCAAAAATTAACGACACGTTGTACTGTACTTTCTATCTACCTGGAAGCACCGACTCGTCCTTGAGAGTTAAAGTGAGTTTTATCCATCAACATCCATTCAGCCTGAAAATCCTTTATATTTACATATCTATTGTGTGGAGGAATGAGTAATACCAGCTTGTAACTAATGCACATCAGATAATAAGACTTTATCCAGCAGTTATGGATGGCCCTGACTTCATCTGCATCATCATGAACATCAGCATGAGAAATATGTGAACATCGTTTTTACTTTTAGTTAATTTATTTAACATAGTTCAGAAACACAATATCCACATTTCTTGTTGGAGTAGTTCTAAACCTTGAGCTTCTGAGCACAATGCTGACTCACTGCCTCGTGCCTCTGGTGTGGGCTCGGTGAAGCGGCTGTGCTCCTGACGACCTGCTCCGCACCACATCCAATATTTATACTGGGGGCGGGTGGTAGGACACGCACCCGTCTCCTCCTCTTCAGTAAGCAGCAAGAGCCAGGTTTAAACACATTTTCATCATCGTTTATCATTTTATCTCATTATTTAACAATTGAAACCAAATATTATAATAATGTGCAGTTTTATGTGTCGAAGCAATTCTGTAACGTTTGCTTATTAAATATTGAATGTCTGCAATTGACATTTTATTTTTACAATCCAGTTCTGCTAGTTCTGGTTGTCTAAAAAGCTAGGATTTTCACTTCCCATTCATGCACAGGTGAAAGAATGGAACGGCATTCAAGGCATGTTTTCTACATTCAGGGTAGATAGCCTGCTATGGACCTTGTTAAGTCATATAAAATGATCAAATTAACAGTAACTTCTCATGGTCAATTTTATATTTACAGGCTTTACATGAATAGTGTATATGAAACCTTGTCTTCAACCCTGCTGCCTCCAACATATAATATTTCCTACGTGCTTTTACCCTTGGAAGAATTCAATTACTGTTTTTTTTTTCCTTATCCTAAACCTTGAACGGGATTATTTTCATTTTTCATGCGAGCATTGGTATCATAAATTTGTGCGGCGTGCCGAGAACCACAGGCAGGGCGAGGCGGCAGAGGTGGATCTGTCACAGCCATAGCCATCAGCGCCGACACCGCATTAGGAGAGAGCAATGATTCTACAATGTGGTGGCAGGCATCTTGTTTTTCATGAAATAAATCTGCTGTTTTCTGTCCTGTCTGACCAGCGTTATGGAGAAGTGTGTTTTTGACTTGTAGAACCTGCACAAAAACATGAAACTGTAAGCCCTGTATCATTCTGATCAAGGCTGAACTATTGCTGGAGATGGGTGCCCAGGCATCTGCTTCAGAGACATAAGTCCAAAGTAAATTAAAAATAACAACCAAGATGTTATTTAAACACATTCAAAAGAAAAGCATAAATTAAAGGAGCAAAATCTGGCCTAAAGTGGTACTGCACTCTCTCTGACTCAGGTTGCCAGATATGCAGACAAATCCAGCTGGGACCATAGTATCTGAATGGACAAGAGTTTTGTCAGCAACAAATCTATAACCAACATCTTTTTCTAAAGGGTTAGGGGTAGTTGTTTTATTCCTAGTTTTGTCATTAATGATTTGAGAATTATAACGAGACCTTGTTTAGTACTGTGACCACATGTTTCTCCAGTGAGATTGGCTTGACGCGGCGAGTTCTGGCAACCCGTACCACGGACTTTCTGATTGATAAAACGGTGGAAGGCGGGACATTGACATGAAAACAATAACAATATTTGGGGGCTGTAAATCCAGTTTTTCAATTTGAATATCTTTGCTGAACCACAGTTATCATTTAAAGAAGTATTTTAGAGCATGTTTTATTAATACCTTTTGACAGATTAGGGCCATTTAATGACGTGACATGAAAATCTTACATATTGCCACTTTAAACTTGCAAGTGTAGTTTTATAGCCTAGTTCGTACACAAGGCCACTCAAAGTGCTTAACAAAACAAGAAAAGAAACATTAAAACATACAAGGCATTAACATAATAAATAATCACAGTAAATTGAAAAGAGTGAAGATGCATTCCTTCAGTTGTATGCACAGCCAAAAAAGATTTTACACATACATAATATATCAGATTTGCTAACCATTTCTTTGGCATATTCTCTGTGAAAGGTTTCTCATTGTATTTATTAAGTTCCATTCTTATAATATAATTGGAGGCAAATGTCTATGACTTCAATATGGATGGATGGACTTTAATTACAATCCAGGGATATAGACAAGATTACAAACTATGCCATGGCAGAAGGGACACAACCTTTGCTGTATCTGGTCTGCTTCCACCTTAACATTCTTGTATTTGTGGCTTTGAAGGCAGCAAAGTACAGTGGGTGAGGAGAGGACGGTCCAAGTCTCTGATAACTGCTTTTGTGTAGCTGTATGTGTGTGTCATTGTTGATAAAAAGTGGTTGATTTCTCGTTTTTCACAATTCGTGTTGAAGTTCTGTGTTTGAATGCAGCCCTAAACCCCCGCAGGATATTACGAAAAGGCCAAGTCAAATAACCCTGGTTTATGGCAGCTTAGATTAATGCGGCGTGTTCTAATAAACGGCGAGAGGCACAAAGGCAGATGTCTGTCAAAGTAATCACACGGCTTCAGCGTTAATACGACGTTTAATAGTAGCTTTTATAACTATTGTTTATGACGCTGCAAACTCCGTATAAAAAGGCTTGACGTATAAAATGTAAATGTTTATTTACGTTGGTCAAGGTCAAGGTCTATGGTTATTCCAAGTGGCAATAATTAAAACATGTAATATATCGTAGCTTTGGTACATTCACTTCACAGCAATACAAGCATAATTTAGCTAGTCTAAAGGATAATTACAGTTTGAAAGCAGCCATTAATGCTTAAGTAAATTTATGAGACTGAAAAGTATTTTCTCCTCCTCGCCCCTGTGGCACCCATTTATTTCACTTATTCATGTTCAGCATTGATAGTTACTTCTTGAATAATAAAGTTTACATGGTGTGTTTATAGTGTATCTATCTCTCTATACACAGATGTGTTTTTAATACTAATATTGATTCATCTATGAACCATTTTTTTGTTTTCCCTAAACACAACAACTACTACTTCTACCACTAGTACTACTGTCTCTGAGGACTTTACAAAACTTTCAATATGCCAAAAACAGATCACAGAATGCAAATGATTAAGACCCAGGAAATACAACAATAATAAACATGAATGAGCCTTTGGTCCATAGGGTAGCAGGATGTGTCCAGAAATGTCCAGGATCATCACTGTCCTCAGACCCTGCTGCATTTACTTGGTATTATTTTGATATATATAGTGTGTTACTTCATCTCTGTTGAGTTAATTTCCTATCCCGCCCTAATTCTGCAGACGAAGAACAGACTAAGTTGACTTGTGGAGTTGTTGAGATGTCGGCCACCATCAGGGACACATCTATACTGTATCTTTAAGAACAGTAGAGTTCTGGCGTGGAAAGTCAAAGTGATTAAGTGCATTAAATCGTCAGGAGCTAACCCTGACAGCAGCAGAGAGTCTGATGCTACGCTAATTGTGCTGGGTTTGGTCCCTTGAGGTCTGCACATATAGGACAGCTTCATTATCTCTGTCATGGCCATTTGATCTAAAAAACACTGCCAAAGTCAATGCCGCCCCAAGGAGTGGCACTAAACAGCTCCAGTAAACAGATGAGGAGAAGTGATATTCATGTTTCTATAGAATCTAATACACAATAATAGCACTATTAACGGTTGTACTTGCTCTTCTGCTGAGGTCCAGGCAAACCCCATCAAATTAGTACACTCAATTTGTTACTTAAATGTTTATATTCTGAACTCAACTGTGAAATCACTGCAATCAACCAAACTAACAACCTTAACCCTATCCAACTTTAATCATCCTTATAGTTACATCAGTAGAACCGCATTATCTACACCAGCGATCTCCAACCTTTTTAGTGCCACGGACCGGTTTAACGTCAGACAATTATTGCTCGGAACGGTAACCAACATTCATGTTGTACTAAATACTACAATGTAAGGATCAGGCTGGGTCTTACTGATAAAAAAAAAAGTTTTCTTCTGGATCTTCCACTCCCTTTTAAATGAAAATGTATTAGGGATGCGCCGATTGTGAAATCTTGGGCCAATACAGATGTTTAACATAACAACTTGGCCGATGTTTTTTCTTTTTGTTATGTATATACCGTATATATATATATTTCTTGGCAGCTTCAGTTTTCCGTTTTTCTTCAGTTTTTATGCAATCGCTGTACCGCCTCATGCTTCCTTCTCAAATGTCCGCTGAGATTTGTTGTGTTAAATGATTTTATAACCGTCCCCCCTCTAGAAATTTCACTGGAACACGTAATGCAAACTGCATAGTCTTTTTCTGATACCGTAAAATATTGTAACACGACCGTCGTCATCTTCTTTGTTTCTTCTACTGAAGAAAGTGCGGAGCCTGAAGCCTGTCTCGCATATTCTGGAAGACTTCCAGATTTTAGCTGCATACAGTGCCTTGCGAAAGTATTCGGCCCCCTTGAACCTTTCAACATTTTGCCACATTTCAGGCTTCAAACATAAAGATTTAAAATTTAAATTTTTTGTCATGAATCAACAACAAGTGGGACACAATCGTGAAGTGGAACGGAATTTATTGGATAATTTAAACTTTTTTAACAAATAAAAAACTGAAAAGTGGGGCGTGCAATATTATTCGGCCCCTTTACTTTCAGTGCAGCAAACTCACTCCAGAAGTTCAGTGAGGATCTTTGAATGATCCAATGTTGTCCTAAATGACTGATGATGATAAATAGAATGCACCGGGTGTGTAATCAAGTCTCCGTATAAATGCACCTGCTCTTTGATAGTCTCAGGGTTCTGTTTAAAGCGCAGAGAGAACCATGAAGACAAAGGAACACACCAGGCAGGTCCGAGATACTGTTGTGGAGAAGTTTAAAGCCAGATTTGGATACAAAAAGATTTCCCAAGCTTTAAATATCTCAAGGAGCACTGTGCAAGCAATTATATTGAAATGGAAGAAGTATCAGACCACTGCAAATCTACCAAGACCGGGCCGTCCCTCCAAACTTTCATCTCTAACAAGGAGATGTTAGAGATGAACATCTCTAATTATTCGCAAAGGGGCCGAATAATATTGCACGCCCCACTTTTCAGTTTTTTATTTGTTAAATTATCCAATAAATGTTGTTCCACTTCACGATTGTGTCCCACTTGTTGTTGATTCTTGACAAAAAATTAAATTTTCATATCTTTATGTTTTGAAGCCTGAAATGTGGCGAAATGTTGAAAGGTTCAAGTCGGCCGAATACTTTCACAAGGCACTGTATATCTGAAACACTGCATCCCCCTATTTAGTCTTTCAAATATGATACAATCCCCTGTTTTAGTTAATGAATTATGAGTTTGTTAAATATTTTCTTAAGAAAAGATAGACTTTGGTGATCTCACACAGGAGATATGTACATGTCACATCTGGCATGGATAGAAACACTCAAGATTGTGCAAAAGTGGAGTGGAGTTTGCATGTTCTCCCCGTGTCTGCGTAGGTTTCCTCCGGGTACTCCGGTTTCCCCTACCACTAAAAATATGTACAATATAGGTCTGGCATGCGCCTCCTGTACTGGCGACCCCGCTCCCATCTCTGTGTGGAGTGAGAGGACAAGTGCCCTAAAAATAACAATTGTAAACCGCTTTGTGACTCTGGTCTGTGAAAGGCGGTATATAAATAAAAACGTACTTACTAAAAAAACGTACTTAAAAGAAAGAAATGTGCAAACATGTTAGTTGCAGGATAGGATGGCAATTAAAATAATGGTAAATCATCCATTCCATCTTTTCATGGTAATTTCATGATGTCATGGTAAAAGACTTTTGACAAACATTCATATTGTACATGTTTTTAGTAGTAAAAGAAACCGGAGCACCCAGAGGTAACCTATGCAGACACACAGTCAAATCCAGACCTTTCTTGCTGAGAGGCGACCGCTCTGTGCTGCCACACTCAACTTCCCCTCCTCCTTTCCATATTAAGAAGATTGTTCATTAAACTTTGTTCGTCTACTTGATAAACGAAAAAAGTACGCTAAGAAAAGAAGTTATTATAGAAGCTGTGGGGTAAAAAAGGGCTTGATGATGAGGAGCACTATGTCTTTTGAAGTGGCAGAGCTGATTTATCCACGCACACACACATCCAGAGGCCTTTCCCATGAACAGTTTAAAAGGGGTGCACAGGGCCAAGATACAGAGTGATGTCATAGCATTTCTACAGAATATATTCACTGGGTAATTGGTTTGCTCTGTTCTTCGTTACATCACTGCAGATTTCAGTAAGAGGACTGATGAGACTACAGACATCATAGTGTGACCTTGGAGCTTCTTCCAGCAAGTCATCAGACTGCTTGTGTACGGGTGACTCGGGTGGTCGTTTCATTTTCGCTGGTTTAGAAGTGGACAAAGAACATGCAATCAACTTTTCGCAGCTTTTGTTATGGTTGTCATCTGTCAGTGTTGTTTTTAGAGCGATTGATTTGATTCTCTTACATTGTGATTTGACTTGACTTGACTCTGTCCTTCCGCTGCGGGAGGGTCTAAGGACAGGGGATGATCCGGGACATTAGTGGACATCGGTCAATGGTTCACAGAGAACGTTTTTTATTGTTACATTTCTTGTGTTTTTCTATATGTTTGATTCTCTAATCTGTGTTGGCGCTCCTGAAGACTGGTGACTCTGGACCAAGACCAGACCCTGAGTGAGACGATACCCGGTCCGAGACAGTACCCGGATCTCGACCAGACCAGACTGGGACCTGCACCAGACCTGGATCAGATCTGAATCTGGGCCTCGATCAGATCTGTACTTAGACCAGATCTGGACCAAGATCAGACACGGACCAAGACCAGACACAGACCAAGACCAGACCTGAGCCAGGACTGGGCCAGGACCAGACCCGGACCTAGACCAGACCCGGACCTAGACCAGACCCGGACCTAGACCAGACCCGGACCTAGACCAGACCCGGACCTAGACCAGACCTGGACCTAGACCAGACCCGGACCTAGACCAGACCCGGACCTAGACCAGACCCAGACCTAGATCAGACCCGTACCCAGATTAGGGAACTCTATTGTAACTTTAATGTGATTATACGTACGATGTCTTCTGAATGAACGTGCACTGCTCTCTATCACTGTCTAAACACGGCTCAGTGGTGGAACAGATGTTATTATTCGTGCCTGTGTAGATGAGCTAATCACCAGTACCACCTGGCTGTGCGGCTGATTACCATTAATCTGCCATTGTAATTGAAAATTAGGGTCTGCACGTGGAAAGTAGAGCCCCCTCCTCATTCTCCCACAGCGCTTGGATACATCTCATAGTCTACTCCTGTCAGACCTGTCACTCACACACAGCGCAGACCCCCGCCGAGAGGAACACAGGATAATGATTGCGTAATTGTACGGCACTGTACAGTTCAGTCGTATTTCATCCAGGAGTTCACCTCAACAGCAGGCCCGCTTGTTATTATTTTAAACAATTTGGCTATAATCGTCCTAGCAGCAGTGTTAAGCTGTATTCTGACTTTTATTGAACATTTTTGTGGATTTTAACCCTTCTTTTAACGGCACCGTGGCTCAGCAGTTAGTTTTTGCCGCACAGCAAGACTTGGGTTTGATTCCACCTTGAAGTTTTTGTGTGTGGAGTTTGCATGTTCTCCCCGTGTCTGCGTAGGTTATCTTCGGGTGCTTAGGTTTCCCCACCACTAAAAACATGTACAATTGGTCTGAATGTAATGAGTGAGTGAATGCATGGTGTTGGTTGGGGGCTTTGATGGTCCAATGTGTTCGGCGACTCGCTGCCGTCATTACCGTGTGGAGAGAATTAAGAAATATCTCTACTCCGAACATTGTAAAGCGCTTTGGGTGACATTGGTCTGTAAAATGTGCTATATAAATGAACATTTTTATTTTCCCCCCTCCCAGTGATGCTGCAATGACCAAAACAACCACCAGGTGGCACTTGTGAGCAGGGTTACATTGGCGTAGTTTCTGCCCCGCACACAATGACAATCTGTCATTGATCCATGCTCCCAGCAGACTCGAACGAACACGAAGTGGAACGTGAAGTTTAATGTAAGTAACTTTTCAATTGTTTTTCATGTGACAGTATATTCATTATTGTCTTTGGGTTGTGTTGCATTGTACACATGTCGTCATTGCGTCACATCAGCGTCGGCTAACATTATATTTTTAGATGCTAGGTATTTTTTCTCCTGCGTCAAAATGGAACTGAGAGATATTCAACTTTTCGTCACATGAAACAAGGCATAGCCTATGCTATGTTATCTAACGCTGGTTTAAAACTCAATTGAATATTAGTTTAGCGTTAATCGGACTAATTTCCATCCGCGGGAAATAAGGCACATGGTGTTTGCTAGCTTAGTTAAACAAGTTAACCATTTGAAAATAACTAAATAATTTATTTTCTCATTTTCCTTGGAAGTAACACAAGGCTACGCAATGTAAGCAAATAAGTATAATACAGCTCGGAAACTTGTGTTGAAACAATCGCGTCAAATACTACAGTTCCCATCATGCTTTTGCTTTGTCACGTGTCCTCCTCAAACAACAACAAGCACAGGCATGCCTGTGCTTTATTTAGCAAAGAGTTTGGTCTCGTTTCTCAAACGTAAATCTGGGCTGTGTACAGAGGACTGCGTGCTTCGGTATGTACAAACGACGCTGCGCGTGATTTGATTCATAGCGTAGTTAATGTTGTAGCGTAGCTTCTTCTGAGGCCAGTTTTCATTACTTTCATGACTGTCTTTCTTATATCGCTATGCACTCCACTAAACATGGCTGATACTTAGTTATTATTGCTTAACAAGTAGATACGTCTTTCCGTTTTTTTCGTTTGGAGACTGAAAATATATCCCAAAGCATTTATGTTCCCCCCGTGCAACTAAAATTGTATGAATTATTTGTGAATTTAGACAATTAAATAATAATTATGTGAACATTGTGAAATTAATCACAAGTAATGTAATGTTACAGACTTGTTTTCTCTTCTACCCGAAGCTGAAAACACACGTGAGTATGGCTCTCCGTTTTCAAATGGCATATATTTCGATTGTTTTAACGTTCTATCAGCGAAATTCATCCTGTGATTTGATAGGGGCTTAGATACATCGATATGTAGTGAAACAAACGCTGTGTAAACGACTTTTTAGTAAAAGTCGTTTACAGCTGGCGTGTGAGATGGACCAACATGCTATGTAACGCTACCAACAGTGATTCATTTTAAATATATAGTACTTTTTCAGTGAAGTGCATGCATAGGGATATTATTAAGTTTGACCCATAAGTTTGACCGCGTTTTCCTTGAAGCAACCGAGCGCGTTGATTTGGACTTAATGGTGCAAGCACTTAATGGTGCAAGCACTGACCTCACGGACGCTACTAAATTCTATACAATATGAAATTACTTATTCAACTTTGTACCAACTCCTGGGTTCGAAATTAGATTTTGGGGAAAATGTTACGTACACGCGTAATGCATGAATGAATACGTGGTCATAATCCCTCCAGAAATGTATTAAGTTTCTCATATTTGCTCGTGGAAAGATAGTAACATTATGTACTAGTAGAAAAGAGAAATTACTTTTCATTTATGTGTGTGGGTTCTCATGCATGTAGCCTCATTATTAATAATTTTACATATGGTCTTATCTCTTGATTTCTAATGGTGAAAGTAATTTAATACCAATACAAAGTCAGAGATTTCCATAATTTAAATATGATAATTTTGTGTGGGTTTTTTTCAAACAGTATTTGACGTTATTACTTGGTAGTCATTTAACAACGTCTTCCCTTTTTCTCCCCAGACCCATCCTTGAGCCTTTATCTTTCGATATCTAATGGTGAAAGGAATTCAATACTTATACAAATTCAGAGATTTCCATCATTTTTCAAGATAAGATATTTTAGTGTGGGTTTTGATCTGTTTGATGTTATTATTTGGTAGTCATGTAACAACGTTTTCTCTTTCTCTCCCCAGACCCATCCTTGCACTTTTTGTTCACTTCCTCATTTACATCTACTTTTGATTAATAATCAAAATGGAGCATAAATGGGATGAAATGTTTCTCCTCCTCACAGAGAACATTTATCCTGAGGGAATGAATAAATTTCAAAGAGACAACTGGAGGAAGTACTCCCTTAAGTTTACAGTAAAGGGTAATAATGCATTTGCTAGTATGGTTATACATGTCTTATTCTTCTTCTGTTGTTTTCATATAAATTATTTTTTATAGATGGTGAGCTGTTCTATGGCAAAAGAAGAGCCATTAAAACCAGACATGAGGCGCAGAAACTATTTCAAGAGTTTCATGCTACGCCCATGGGAGGCCACACTGGGATGAAAAAAACCCGACATGCCATTTGTTCCAGGTTTTACTGGCGTGGCATGACTGGTGATGATTGACAATTGGGTATGTGATATTATTTGTCTGTACAATTCCCTTCCCTAAAGCCTGTTCGTTTTAAGATTGCTGAGTGTGACCAATGTCAACGTGAGGGAAAGACTCTGGGTACAGTTGCACCACTCCAAACAATAAAGGTAATTGTATTGTTACTATTCAACCACCAATGTACATTTATGCATTACAATCCTGTTGGCATGTTAGGTGTCTGCTGTTTGGGAGCTGCTGGGGATTGACCTAACTGGGCCCTTCCCCAAAACTACTGATGGCTATCAGTACATATTTACAGCCACTGATTATTTTTCAAAGTGGGTAGAGGCTTTCCCATTGAAAACCAAGACGGCTGCGGAGGTTGGGCAAAGACTTTGCTCTATAATATACAGGCATGGGTGCCCGAAACGGATCCTGTCTGATCAAGGGCGGGATTTTGTAAATGAGGTGAATATTGCTTTTTGTAGTTGTTACTTTTTTTTGTTCATACTTTCTTATTCATTTAATTTTCATTGTTTTAGCTCAATGATTCTCTGTGCTCTCTGCTGGGCATTGAGAGAAGCGTCACCGCTGCGTACCACCCACAGACTAATGGGTTGGACGAAAAGACCAACCACAACATCAAGAGGCAAGAAAGATATGTATAATTTAATCATGTGAAGCACACATTAAATATATGACTGATGGCAAACCCTACATGTTTTAATTTCCCCCATTTAAACAATGTTCGGAATGTCTTTCTCAGAGCTTTGATGAAGTTGTGAATGAGCAGCAGAACAACTGGGACACATTCCTTGATGCCACACTGTTCTCTTTGAGGTCAAAGGTGCACATCTCAACCAAACACACCCCATTCCAGTTGATGTATGGGCGGGAGGCTGTGTTCCCCTCAGAGGTGCCTGTAGATTATCCTGTAAGTTCCATTCGTTCAATTGTTGGGTTACACAGAGGGGGAAGAAGCTGGACAAGGTCATCAGTAAGTTCAGCTCAGTCATGGGCTGTTCCCAGTGCAGCAGGTGGGGGACCATGACTGTCACCCCCTGCAGGACACTCTGCTCTGGAGAGCAGCTTCAGTGAGAGCTATTCATCCTCTATGTGTGAAGAAGAGGTTGCACAGGTCTTTCCTTCCTGCCGCTGTCAGACTGTACTGTGAGAACTGCTGAGCCTGTACATGTCATCTCGTCTGTAAATAAGTAGTAAGTAAATACTGTAACAATCACATTTTCCCACTGTGGGACAAATTATACCTTATTTTATTTAGGAGACAATCATGGCACTTTCTTGACCCACCAATCAAAGCTTTTGGAGGATTTGAAGAAGGGAAAAATAGCAGATTCACCAGGTAGGGATAGTAATGTCAGTAATATTTGTTACTTTGCATCTAACGTTTTTCCAATGCTTTTAGGACACTGCCAAATGTGACAGCTACACACCAATGGAACTTGAGAGTGAGAAGGCGCTTGACATACAAACAGAACAGGTATGTCTAGTAGTAAATATTACAATTTATTGTATTTTCATTATAAATTAAAACTTTTGTGTTTCCTTAGAGCAATGAGGTAGGAGGGAGTTTTTACATGGAAAAAGTCTTGAAGCGGACTATAGTGTCACTGATTGTCACACGCAAGTCAAAACATTTCTCTTGTAACCAAATTCATTGTTTTCTCAGGGTATGCCCCATTGTACAAAGAAGAGCTAAATTAACAACTGATTGCCTAAAGATGTGCAGAAACCCGTCTCCGAGCACCAGACATCACAGCTGAAGCGTTATTCTTTGTAATAATTAAGAATACAAATCCTGTTAACATTGAAACTTTTTTTTGCAGGCTTTTTTGGGCAGGAATGCACTTGAATGAAAATGTCAAACGTGGGCAAGATTCTTCAAAGGGGCAGTCTTTATTCAAAGTTCCAACCCAAAGTACAACAAAGGAAAGCAAACAGCAAAGCCAACACTTGGTAAAAAAATAACACTGTACAAACATTACAGTACAATAACTTAATAATATATTATTACAGAGGCTGACCAGGACAGAAAGCCAACGCACTGGCCTTCAGGATCTGTGAACTCTTCGCGTATCCTGAGCACATCACATGCAGGAATGACCTGGCTCCCAGTCGTCCCGAGCACCAGCTAACCAACTCCACAAATCTGAGACTCCTGTGGAATTGGACACGTATGTTAATTATTGTAATTTGCAGTTTGCGTAGTGTACTGAAATGTTTTGTCCCTTTGTCTGTTTCATGGTGTGACGACGAGACCATTTGCACCTGCAAATGAATTGATTTCTGAAAATGAAGTCTCCACGCTCTTTCAACATTATCAATATATTTATTTGACAGGGACAATGCAGACACAGTCATAAACAAAGCTTGCAGCTGATGTGATGAATGTAGTTTATAGCAGATGCCAATTCACAACTCCTGTCCCTGGTTGGGCCTAACCAATCAAAGTCAATACAATTCCTACATTTCTAAAAATACACTTAGTTTACAGCCTACAGACTTGATTGATCCACACAAAAAAACTACAAACGTGTTTTCTCTTGTATTTAAAGCTTGACATCAATGCGGGAACTTTACATCCTTCAGCAGGAAAATCTACACAAATTCAATTCAATACCACAGCCCATTTTTTATGCACAACCTAACATAAAACCAATGAAAAAACCTTTGATTGGTTCCAATTTAAATGTTACTCACCAGTGTTGTTCATTTCTTTAATAGAAAGGATGCACCCGATCTTTCATCTGGGAAACTAGTCAAAATTCATCAATCCACGAATGAATTACATTTCAAAGGACAACATGGCCATGGCATGTAATCTCTGTGGTTACTGGTGATAATAATCCTGTGGTTGTTGTCATGGATCAGCTGCAGCAGAGTCTTGACAGTAAAAGTTGCACTATATATCCAAATGGCCATATTTTTTTTTTTGCAACTTCGAATTCATCCCATGAAAATTATTAACTGAACTGACAGAAAAGTGTGCAGTCCACAAGCTGTGCTGCTGCAGGTGATCGCTGCATTAAATTAAATTTATTATTTCCATTATCAACATTCATCCAGTTGTAAGCTGTAGAGTTGCCACAGGACGCTTCATCAGCCTACGTCAGCTGCCAGGACTGCTATCATAACATAAGCATAGTGGTTTCATAGGTGCAGTTGACTGCTTAAACTAAACTTTACCCGAAAGTTTGACTCTTAAAACCCACATGTGCCAACACGGAACCATCAACATCTCGCCTCAAATTGCATTAAAAGTGACATTCGTGTCTTATTTCGTTCGTATTATAACTTTTAAAGGAATTCACGGACTTTCTGTCCGCCATCTTGGTTTGTTTCGGCTGCCGTGAGACGCGCATGCGCGCAGGTTTGCATTACATCATTAACAGCTGAGCATTACATAAGCGTCACTTTTTGGCAGAGCGTTACAACTCGGCAGAACACCGGCACAAAATGAAGATCCTGGTCGTTTGTTCTTCCTCTGATGAAGAACCTGTGGATGTCTCTATTGTTCTCGACAGCAAGGAGATTGTGACTGGATGTGGAAATACTGAAAGTCAAGCTACTGTCCAAAACATAAGAGAAGCAATTTTGTTCAGCATAAGAGAAAAGGCCACAGATTTTATATAATTTGATGTTGTTACTTTAGCTTAGACTCTAGCTTAGACTAGAATATGAAAATTAGTCATTAAAACATGGACATGTTAAATTAATTGACTATTCTTGAATCTAGTAACTCCTCATGTAACAGTGTTTTAATTAGGGAAAATGTGAAAGAGCTCGGCCACTTCTAAAATTACCTCGGTCTGGAGCCATTGAGATTTACTGCGAGAGTCTAATGCTACAACATCCTGGTCTTTAGCTGAACAGAGGCTCAAAGACCAGGCAGGTGCATCATCTCATCTAAGCTAATGACATTTAATTATAGAAAATCAATGGCCTATCTCTATACCATTCCCATTGCATCCTTTTTGTGATAATTAAGTTTTCTGTTGTCATGTGTTCTGCTTTTAAGGTCAGCTTTAGTTCATCTTTTAGTTTTCATTGTTGATGTGTGAACTTAAAAGTTTGTCAATAAAACAGATTGTTAAATGTTGATATTTGCATATTGTTTTTTCTTATTAATTCAATAATAATGTAATTGTTACACACATATAGTACTTAATAAGTATTATTGCAATGATATGAAATATACTGATAAAATATAAATAACATTTATTCAAGTTATCCATTATTGTAAATGATCTGTACACATAATGGTTACTCAGTATATCTATTTCACACATAAATAACCTAAAAAAAATCACATAAACCTTACTTGATTATTTTATGTGATCAAGTAAAAAAAATCACATTTGTTAAGTAAGGTTTACTTACAAATAACATTCAGATTATACTTGATGAAATAAAAAGTTTTACTTGATTTATAGTAGTAATCTTTAATTATATCTTCGTGCAAATACTTACGAGGATTTTTTTAAGTAAATGTTAATCACGATTTTTTTCAGTGTATAACGTAAACTTTTGCATCACATTGGTGATCTTTCCAAAAAGAGAGAATATCGTTATGGAAAGAGAAACTATTGGTAATATAACGCTGAACGTTATTTGACTCAAACAGCTTGGAACAATTGGATTACAAAATTTGGACATCATTTGGAACAATCTGGATTTCTGAATTTGGACATCATTTGGAACAATCTGGATTTCTGAATTTGGACATAATTTGGACTGAATTGAATTACTGAATCTGGACACTAAAGCTGAAACGTGCGATTGAAAGACACGTCACAGAAGAATTCATGGCTTGACACAAATGCAGCCTGAAGAAATCAACACGGAGAAGTGGGAGAGACTGTTTTCAAAGCAATATCTGAGAACCATTGACTGATGAAGTTTGGTATTTTACTGAAGATTGTTGACAAGTTTTATGAAAGATCTGAAAATGTTTTATGAGTTTTCTGAGTTTTTTGAAGTACCGAGTGAAGTACCGAGTTTAAGTATTGAGTTATGTATGTTTGTTCTACGTAAATACTGTATGTGTGCTATTTTTGTTGCACAAGGCTGTAGAATTGCAAAGAGCATATGCAGTAAATATGTGAAAGACATACAGTACATACATATATATCTCACTAAATACAGTCACAATGAAAACATGACTAAATCATTTGACTGTTGTTCATAAACACTGATGTCAGGACACAGACACAGACCGTTTCATTGACATGAAGACTTTCTTTTGAGGAATTAAGTTCATTTTGAGGAAGTGACTTTTTAGCAAGTTATCCATGAGGTTTTGCCGATTGCACTAATTGTTCTGAGAAATGCACAAACTGATTACAAAATATATACTGTGCATTCTCAGTGGACACACTGCCATGGCATCTCTTCTGCATTGTCCACATGTGTACTGTATCTGTGGACTACTGTAGTACTCTCTTGGAGCTCTCCCTCCCCCGCACGAATAAACAAAGGCCACCCCAGGCCCCTGCTGTTATAAGTCATTACCTAAATTTGCAAATCAATACATGCAAATGTTAGCAGCCAACCTAGCATAGTGTGTATCATCTATGGTATTAAGCAACTTTTGTTAAAGTTAAACTCATCATTCTATCAATGTGCAGAAGCCAGTACTTTTCCCTTGTTTTGTCTATCTGAAGGCCAAGCTACAAGCACACCGTGGAAGCTGCTGATTGGAGGTCTCCATGCCTCTGCTCTGTATAATACACTTGTATTCTGTTGTATCTGTTGTTCGTGCTGTCTCTACCATCGACAATAAAACATGTCTTCTGTCTGAATTTAAGACGCGATCCCAGACTTTGTCATCTTCTTCAGGTGGTGGAGAATGCGGGCATTGTCTGTAACATCTAGAGAACAGAAGACTACTTTTTTTTAACACAAAAATGTGTTTTTTTTTTTAAAGCCAAAACTGAGAAACCTCAAGAGAAACCATGCGTCTGGACCAGCACACTTGGACAATCTGCACAACCCCTGATTCCACTCCGGCTGTGAGCTGCTGAGACATGGACAACACCATCGTCCTCTTTTGCATGGACATCATTTGGAACAATTGGATTACACAATTTGGACATAATTTGGACTGAATTGAATTGCTGAATCTGGACACTGAAGCTGAAACGTGTGATTGAAAGACACGTCACAGAAGAATTCATGGCTCGACACAAATGCAGCCTGAAGAAACCAACACGGAGAAGTGGGAGAGACTGTTTTCAAAGCAATATCTGGAACCACATCGACTGATGAAGTTTGGTATTTTACTGAAGATTGTTGACAAGTTTTATGAAAGATCTGAACATGTTTTATGAGTTTTCTGAGTTTTTGAAGTATTCCGAGTTCTGAGTTTTTTGAAGTACCGAGTGAAGTACCGAGTTTGAGTTTTTAAAGTATTGAGTTATGATGTTATGTTGCTGTTTATCGATCCTGATGGTCACAGGTGAATGTGTGACCAGAGGGGGGAATGTGAGATTTCATAACACTTTTAAACAACTTTTGTTAAAGTTAAACTCATCATTCTATCAATGTGCAGAAGCCTGTACTTTTTCCCTTGTTTTGTCTATCTGAAGGCCAAGCTACATGGCACCGTGGAAGCTGCTGATTGGAGGTCTCCATGCCTCCGCTCTGTATAATACACTTGCATTTTGTTGTTCGTGCTGTCTCTACCATCGACAATAAAACATGTCTTCTGTCTGAATTTAAGACGCGATCCCAGACTTTGTCATCTTCTTCAGGTGGTGGAGGATGCGGGCCTTGTCTGTAACATCTAGAGAACAGAAGACTACTTTTTGTTTAAAGTCATAATTTCAATATTTTTTATTTTTATACACACATTATTAACTAAACTGTTGCGTTCTAATCTTTTTTTAGGAGGAGGAGAGCGCAGTCAGGCCAGGCTCGCCTCGCACATCTTAACACTAGAACTTGTTGATTAGCATTTGTATAGCTCACAGCATTGTCATTTACATGTTAAAGCCTCCTGTGGAGGAGGGAGGAGGGGACAACAAACTACCGTGAACAGCCGAATCCCAGAAGTTTCACAGTAATATACAGGGCCGAAAAGAGACAAAAATCACACTTTTCACTTTTCTCAAAAAAAAGATGACTTAAAGGAACAATATGTAAAAATCTGGCCAAAAGTGGTACTGCAGTCATAGTCAATATTTTGTAGTCCTCTCCCACTCTCCCTGACTGGTTGCCAGATTCACACCAAATCCAGCAGCAAACACAGGGAATTATTTTATCAGTTGTTTGTCCGTCTCCATTCACATTGCCATGACAGCCGTGCTAATGCTGAATGAATGTTTTGATTAATGTTTTTTTATTATTATTATTTGGACATTTGAGATAAAAAACAAAAACAAAATAAAAGCAATGTAATTATACATAGTTTATGCAAAATAAATAAGCAATTGATGTCCAAAATAGGAGTGGGAAGAATGGATGTTGGAACGTATTTCTTCAGCGTATCAACATCAGGGTTTGCTCAAGAGGATATCACCTTTCAATTTTATTTATTCCCTATTTTTTAGACAAACATGTAAAAGTTCCACATCAAAAAGAGACTAACATTATTTGAATTGGGGTACATGTGGTCTTAAATGATTATTTTTACATTTAAGCTATAATCTGCAAAAAAAACGTCTTGACCTTCATCTTTTACCGTTTTTAGAGCAATCTGTCATAGAATGTGATAACATGCAATAAATACAAAAATATATAGCGCGGGATCGAACCCAGGTTCCTGCATCATAAGCGCACAGCTTAGACCACTAGACCAGGGGTTCACACGATCATAGACACTGACTCAATTGTTCAAAGCCATCCCTATATAAATCCTCGTTTTAGTCTTTGTTTTGTCATTAATGATTTGAGAGTCATAACAAGACCTTTTTTTAGAATAGAATTCTATAGACAATACATAATTATTTTAAATATATACGTTAATGCAATTCGTATTATAAAGATAAAGATTAAAAGAAAGAAATAGCATTCAATAGAAACCTCGATAGAAACCTCAACCTTTCACCTCGATTTTTTCAGACATTAAAGACAAGATGTTATATAATAATTGTTTAATGAAAAAACAATTTTGCCACAAGCAACCAAAAGATGTGCTTCAGACAAGAATCGAACCTGGGTTCTCCAGGTCCCAGTCTCTAATGTTATCCATTTGGCCAACATAGCACCTCTGGGTTAGACAGGTTTGCACGCAGTGTTATACCTGAGCGTCTAAGTCGCTGGCAGAGCTAAAGCGGACTTAGCCTGCCACCTTGTGGCGATAAGATGTACTATTTTTCACGCAGCTGCGTGATTCCCGAGAAGCGTGAATGAAGACGACAAAACGGAATGGGACCTACTGTAGTACAAACCCAAAGAAATACACATTGTAGGAGAGAGAGGAGTTGTGTGGTAAATATTCCTGAACTAGGCTTGAGCCAAATTGCAGATTTATCTCAAACACTGAACCACATGTAAATATTTGTTTCTAAATAGCTTCATCCTTTCAATGATCTTTTCCCAGAACAGGAGAGGAACAGATGTAAGCTTATGTAGCAAAAGTTTACATGCTGTTACCAAGACAAAGACCTTCCTTGTGTAAGAAGGTCAGAACCAAAAAGAACGTCTTGGTTTCATACAAACAGTTTATCTGGACCACATTGTTTTAAAAACTGCGGTGGTTTAATAAAAGCAGCTGCTAATCTGGTTTTCTAATGTAGAGGATATTTATGGATTATTTCAAAGTAGACATATACACATTCAAGAAAACTGCTGATCATTAGCAACTCTCCACAGCGCAGGGGTATGAGCTAAAATAAAACATCAAAACAAAACTTTTTGCTTTGACTTAGTGGTTTTTAATGTTTGATTATGTAGATCTTGAGGTCAATACTCACCAGTTAGTTGATCAGCCACTTCACAAGTTATTCAGTTTTTTTTTTTTTTATCCCTATGGAGGAGCTGTAGTGGTAACAGCAGTGGAAATATTTTTTGCCGAAGACTTTATGTGTGAGAACAGCAGCAGTAGTAGTTGACCAGGCTGACAGTACAGACATGTGATTGTAGCTAAATTAAAAAACAGTATCTCATATCTAATTATCTCAGTTACATCAAATCCATTAAGCATACACCATTTCTCCTTGGCATTTCCTCTGATGTAAGAAAAGCACATTTTACCATGTTGTGACTGAAAGTGGGAGGCATAGATTAGTGCAAATGTTGTTTCAATAATATGGGGAATTTTACTTCCTGAAACTCTAAGCTCCGCCCACTTCACAGCTCCATTAAGACACTGATCAATTTCATAATCCTCATTCAATTCTACAATTATATGCAATACATGAAGTTTGTCTATTAAATTAGTAAATTGACCTAGAGAATAAAAATGGCCTCAAGATTCAGGATTCCAGAATGTATTTGCCATTTGCAGTAAAACCACATTGGAAAAACTGTACAAGACTACCCTAGTGAGCACCAGACAGAGAAGAAAGCACACACCAGCGCTCCAGCCACGCCATTTTGCAAATAATTTGTTATAACATTTCAGCAAATACTAAACATAACTGGGTTTCTATTGTAAATAGGGATGTAAATCGGCGACCGGTTAACCGGTGGTTGACCGTCACAGCGTTAACCGGTCAAAGCTGTCGGTTAAAAAAGAGAAAAAGGGGAGAGGGGAGGTTTCTTAATAACGCTATTTTAAGCCCTATTTGCACGATGTGACGAGCGGGTCTGTATCTAGCTGTGTGCGCCCATGTATTATAAACTCCGGGACGACTCTCACGCCGCACGAGCCACATATGCACACACGCACGCACGCGCGCGCACACACACACACACACACACACACACACACTTTCCCCCTCTCCATACGTAACATCCACACGCCTCATCTCTCCCCTCTGTTACCGTCAAAGTTGCACACTGGCGCGGGTCAGAACTACATTGGAGCTTACATTTACACACACACACATATACATACACACACACATACACACATACATACACACACACATATACATACACACATACATACACACACACATACCGGTCTGTCGCGCTCCTCTGTGTCACGGAGCCCAAAGGATTCGCGCAAATACGCGGCTTCAGTCAAACCACATGGAACATGTTTGTGTTTATGGGCCTCGGGATCAGCTCCACACACATCACTTGTATTTAAACTTTTGTGAAGACCTGTGAGACGCGGCTCGTCACTCGCTGCTCTGACCATGTGAACGAGCCGTCGTTTGCTGCTAGAAAGTTTTGGTATTAACCCGCAGCACAGCAGAATGGGAAGATTAAAAAAGCAGTTCTCTGTGCGCAAAGGTGCCGGAGCTGTTGCGGGTTTGGGCGCCGCTGTCTCAACTCTGATCCAGTAGAACGCTCAGCTGCACTTATGAAAAGTACGCGGCTCGAAATGGCTGTTATTTCAAAGAACGTGGACTATTTTAAACTACGCGGTTAACCGGTTTCAACCGGTTAATGAGGCTCGGTGGTCGGTCATGAAAATTCATAGTTTTTTACATCCCTAATTGTAAATCAATAGAATTTTGATTCATGTCCACTTGAAAGCAAAAGGTTTCTATGTGAGTAGTGGCATTTTGATGATGATGTTATTATCCGTAGCAGGTATTTTGAGTGGTTGTGCAGAGTGTTTTGACAGCGAGGTTATGGGGGGTTGAGTATCTCCTCTTACAGTGAAACTAGAGTCCTCTTTGTTTCAACCAGCACAGCCAAAAACAGCTGCTCTGCTCCATCAGTTAATTACACGGCCGTTCGCTCATATTACCCACGCAGCCTTTTCCTTTCCAACAGATTCCCATATCACTGACTGAACCCATTTGAGTCAACTTCCTCCAACAAGTGCCCACGGCGGACTAGAAGGGCTCTGAATGTTTGTGAATGATGGGACGAGCGGGGAGGCGAAAGAAAGCAGAAGTGTGAAGGAGTGTGTGAAGATGTCCGGGCATCTGCTGCAGACACCAGCTGTCGGCAGATCTCCTCCACCGCTCGTGAGAAACGGAGGGAAATACAGCAGCAGAGCCACACCATTGATTCTCTCTGTGATCCAACGACAGACGGATGGATTAGAGCAGAGTCATGTGTGAAAATAGTGGCGTATAAGCGGCGGTGTGTGTGTGTGTGTGTGTGTGTGTTCAGAGAGGTGGCAGATATGCATAAATCACATCGAGGTACTTATGGAATGTTTTGGAGGAAATAACAGTAAAACATTCAGTTTGAAGAAATTGCATTCATTTTGCCCCTTAAAATAATTTCACTGTAAAGAGTGTAATTTTACATGAGAAAAATAATTAATTGGTAATGCTTTTGTTTTAAAAGGCAAACAACATATGTAGCAACATGGTTACAAAAATGATAATGGACTCTTGATTTTGATTGGCCAAATGTTTTTTATGAATGGCCATATGCGAGCCACGGACAAAGAGACATTAAAATGAATTATTCCATTCTTTTTGTTTATTTTGAAGCCTGGTCAGAGCATCCAGTATCAAGTATTTTTTATTTCTCCCAAATGGACTGGCACCAAAGATGTTTGACATCTGTGTTTTTGGGTCACAATTTCAAACAATTCATTAGAACAATTATAATAAAAAAAATCTAAATAAATGTTGAATTTGGCCTTCAGGTTATAGTTTTGACACTGGTGTTCCCTGATCCCTAAGGATGCTGTTAAGATTGATACTTTTCACTGAACTACACACAGCATTCATGGATCTCATTAAAAAAATACAGGGATAAACTTTCTCTAGACTTGTCAAATTATCTATAATTATTGCTCAAATTCAAATAGATGTTTTAATTATATAACTAAATATACTTTAACCTGAGCTCTCATTTCCATTCCCCAGTAGTCATAACCCTTTCCCCCTGTCCTCCTTTGCCTCCTCTTGTTTGTATCTCCAGGCAGTGTCTGTTGGGCAGCCTCCTGGTGCCAGCTGACCCCCCCCCCCCTCCTCCTCCCCTGCTCTGGCTTGTGTGCGGTCCATCTTGAGCACCAGCTTTGGCTCAGGACCGTCTCCTGTTCTTGGCTGTGGCTCGTCCACTTCACAGGCCAACACTGTTAGCATTCCTCTGCTGAGGCCAGTGTGGAGCGGACCACCACTCAGCTTTATTGAACTTACGGATATTATTTTCACCAATATTTCACTTAGATATGTGGAAAAACAAAAACTAGGCAACAGTTTACCCCTTTTTTCTGCTATGAGATGGTTGGGAAGTAGTACAACACGTTAGTCAAAGATACCACCATTAGAACACTAATTATATTCTGGTAGTTAATAATTATTCTGGTAGATATCATCAGTTTTTCATTTCACCCAAACCAAGAATGAGTTATTTAGCAAAACAAACGTGTTGCGTTTTCCGATTGTGTTGTGTTTTCCAATTACATAAAGTATCTCCAAACTGCAGAGAATTAATGAGAAACCTCAAAAAGGATTTTCTTGTGGTGTGTAAATGTGTGATTTCTTCTCTCGTCTAATTTGTGACAATCAGGTATGAAACAGGTGCAGCTAACAACAAGTTTTCATCATGATACTCTGGTTGGACAATATATAAAGCAGAATACATTCTAGTACAATTACTGGCAAAAGGAAGACTTCATGTTATGGCAATATATTTGTTATATTATTGTCCATTGCATTATTCATTATCACAATTTGTTCTTTGCACATTACCCATAATGCTTTGTGCCTTGGGGAGTAAAGGCCGGTGTGGCTGCATGTTTTCATTCGAATAAGCAGGAGCACACCACACTGCACCATTTCCTCAGGTCTCCAGGTTAAGACTGGACTCACATGAGGAAATGGGGGTGGTCTGGTGTGCTCTTGCTTGGTTGGAATGAAAACCTTTTTTGGCCCTTTGAGGACCTGTTTGACACTTTTGCTGCAGATAGAGCTTTTGTTATTCAGTTACATGTTAGTTCCAGTTTACATTTGGATCTTTGGAGCAATCAGGATCAAAGAAAACATGTTTTTTCCGCCATTCTTTGGCAGAAGCTTTATTCACAATCAAAACAACGATGCAGATGAATCCATCATCTCCAGCTCGCTACCCGCAGCTCCCCCCCAAAGCAAAAAGCATTGTGGTATTGCGCATGTAGCTAATAGATATTTTTGTGACATATTGTGCAGCCCTAAGCCTAAAGCACAGGGCTAACTCACCACAAGGAAACAATACAAGGACATGAGTTAGGCCTCTATTCGCAAACTTTTCAAAAAATCCTTTAGAAAACGACGAAAATTCTGCACTGAAAGCATGGGTCATCTGTCATGCTTTGTCACGGTCCTCTCCTCAGCCAGGACTCCAACTGCCAGCTGCATTGACACGGCTACCTGCCTATCGGGTTCATAAATCATGTCTTTTTTCATTGATGCTGTGAAATTTTAATATTTTACAGTGTCATTAAACAGGTGCTCCGACCCCTGATAGTGGCTTATCCCTCAAACCTCCAATAATAGGTGGAATAAATGGCGGTAGGACGAAGTGATAAAGGAGCGAAATAAGGCCTTTTCAGATATGCAGCTAATGGTTTCTTTTCACTGTGCAATCGCCAATTATATCCAACTGTCATCCTGCGGATACAACAGGCCAGAGGTGTCCAAAGTTTTACTAAGACGAGAATGGAAGAACGGAAATGCCAGGTGCTATAGAAAAGCTTTAAGTGGCATAGTCAAAGTACTTGATGGAATAGATGTATGTTAGTAGACTTGGTATAGATCAGCAGAGCACATGGGGATTGTGAGAAGGAATGCATGATATTAATAACACCAGATTTCAAACTCATGTAACTGTAAGAAGAACACTGTGCAAAATCAATCAACCCTCTCCATCAAATACACATATGGGTATAACAACAAGGAAGCCCTGGCCATTGGGGGGAACTTGGGCTATAATTATTTCAGAATTTAAATAAAACAGTATTCTGAGAAAACCTTACGGTGGGTGAATGTTGGTTAACTCATGCTCAATTTAGTTTGGTTCGAAAACATGAAGGATGCATATGTCTAGCTTTAGGACATATTGACATTTTGACTTTTGGAAAAAAGCAACTTTGCATAAATTCCCAATCCCTAAAACCAGCCCTTTTGAGGTTGTAATGCAGTTTAGCAAAACCCACACTGACATCTTTGTGTAAACCATAAACAGGCAAAGCTATGTTTACACACAATGGAAGTTTCTCAGTCCTGTCTCATATGACCACTAACCCTGCTAAGACCTGCTTATACAGCAACACCGTTCAGTCTACAATTTGGATTATAACGAGAGTCATAATCTTATAAACACTATTTGACAATGTGGCTGTGAACAAATAACAGAGTTATTCATTATTGCATTAACTTATTGGGATTAGATGTACTGTATGTAGATTACAAATGCACAACAAAACACTCAACTGACCAGCTTAACATAAGCATTTGGAAAGTCAAAAACAATATTCAATCAATAAGTAACTATTAGTTTGTCAGTCGCAAGAAAAACTATTATTTACAATTGTTTATTTTCACTTATAACAACATAAATAAAGATTACTTACTTACTTACTGTTAATCATTCTTGAATACGCAAACGGTGTGAATTGGAAAACCATGTTGGCATTTCTGCTTTTATTCATAATTACCCTTTGTCAATATATGACACTCAACATAACCCTAAAAGCCACAAGAGCTTTCCAAAACCTGCTAAACCTTTACAACATTTTGACAAGGCGCCAAAGAAGTCAAATTGCTACATGTGCACAAACACCAGGAAGCCTCTACATATATATATATATATGTATTTGTATTATAACAATCCAATGTGTAACTATTCAGCACCATCTCTAAATAGTTGTGTTATCTAATGTATACCACATGCCATATTCATATTGAGAATAAGAGATTCGTCCCACAGTGGGGAAATTTCAGTGTTGTATCACCAGTTACATAACAGTAGGAATGAGTAGCACACAGCACACAATAAATGAACAATAACTAGAATAAAAATCTATAACTCTAGCATGAAGAAGAAACAAGTATAAAATCTCTACCTTAATAATCTCTTAACCATAATAAGAAGCAAGTGTAAAGTACTGTGTATTCTAGTGCAAGTAATATATATTTGTATTGTTCAATCATGGATTATCAAAATAACCTTTAATTACAGGCCTAAATATCATACACAAAAGCTAATCCTTTCATACATTTTCAGTCAGTCAGTCTCATATGGCCCAGTGCACAGCAGGGGTCTCTATTCTTGTTACAGATTCAGATTCAGATTCATTTATTTCGCCATTTGCAGTATGTATACACCACATTGGAATACATTTGTAAAAGTTCCCCGTGTGCACAGGACAAGTACAGACACAAAACAACATTAAAAGACAAAAATAAAACAAATTTTAAAAACAGTAAACAAATGTCACAACAAATGTCACCGTGAAGTTGACCAACTTAAAACAGATCTATACGAGTGCAAAACATTAAAGTGCTCTATTCAAACTGTTAACAGCTCGTGGAAAAAAACTGTTAGCATGACGAGATGTCCTGCATCTCAGAGAACAGTATCTTCTGCCAGAGGGAAGAAGCTGGAACAAGGCTTTTCCTGGGTGGCCAGAAGAGTCTCTGATAATTCTCAGGGCACTGTTAAAAAGTCTGGATTGATAAAGAACCTCCAGAACAGGAAGCTCGCAGCCCACGGTCCTCTCTGCAGAGCGGAGCACCTTGTTTAAAGCTCTCTTTTCTTTATTCATTCATGATTGGCCCAAGCCTCTTCCCTAAGCTGGGTTTAGTCACAGTTATGAACATGGGCCATCTCCATTCACAGAGCCATATTTAGAGCAGTATAACGTACACACAGCAGTTTGATAATGCCATCTGCACCACAAATCTTCCTGCAGCCAATTCCACTCTTTGGTTTAGTTTGTAAAAGGAAGTTTGTATTGCGCTAAAGCGGCTCCGAAACTATAAAATGCAATGGAGCAATAACTTGTGTGTGTGTGTGTGTGTGTGTGTGGCCAAAGGGAAGGACATTCTTTAAACAAGTCTTTCAAAAGAACATTGAGCTGAGGGAGAGCAGGGAGTTAGGGTACAGTGATAAATATTGACATTCTGAAAAAAAGGAATAGGAATTTTATTATGCTCATTACTTGCAATGTGTTTAGCAATGCCATTCTTTCAAAAAGATGATTTACTGACTTATGTCTAGCTTCATACAATTACTGTTTAATGCGAAACGATTAACTTGTTTTTGTTTTGTTTTGTTTTTTTTATTTCTATTTTATCAACTTCGTTTTGTTGCTTATTATAGTCATTATGATCTTTATTGACCTTGAAGAGTGATGTTGCTTTAAACAGTTGCCATTATTTGCCGTTAATGTTGCTCTTATCGTCTGTTCTTTCTTGTTTATTTTTTACATTTGCATAGTTGCTGTTCTATGTAAAGTGTGTATATTTTTATGTAGTGTTTTGGGGGTGGGCACCAATAAGCTTTTGCTTCGGCCCACTCCTTTTGAGCAGTACTTGTCTGCTCAAATAAACAAATAAATAAAAAAAAAAAAAAAAAAAAAAATTAAGCCTACATGCCCTTTGTTTTTATAATCACGTAATAAAGATTTGTAAATGAACATCGATTATTAAAATGGGTGTTTGTCTGAGACTTGTTTTATTTTTTGTTTGATTTTATAAAAGTCTTATCAGTATTCATTGTAAATATAAGGCGAGGACAATGGGCAAGGTGGGCAGTGAAAAAAATACTTTTCTAAAACTTATTTTGGAACCATTTGTTGGCTCACTTTCTTAGTTTTATCTCCTTGCGGACCCTCATCAATATTTGAACTGATCTCCACTGAGAATCCAATCATCTCGACTGTTCTGTCAGACGGTCTATATTGCTTCAATAGTTCTTCTGGACCAGCTTAACTTGAAATCGCCACATTAAAAATTAACCACCACGGCATCCTTCGATACACCTCCACTTGGGATACGTCAGATAGGGAAAAGCACCAGTTCTCCATTATTCATAATGTTGACTGGAGCCTTGCTCGGGGTTGAAAGGGCCAATCTCCCCAGGGTGAGCACGGAGCAGGGAGCAGAACAAAAGTCTTACAAAGGGCCAAACATTTCCGGTGGTGGAGCGGCTCTTCTGAAGGAATCGACAAGAAGCACAAGGGAATATATTATCCGCCGTTTTTGAAGACATAAGCATTGATTATTACAGCACATGCCTCAGCAGATCCATGGAAAGACTCATAGGCAGAACGTGAGGAGGTCCACAGCTCATCCAAACAGCCCCAAGGGAGGAGGAAGGGGAAAATGCTGTTTTTTTCAATTTTGTAATTACTTTGAAGATCATTGGACTTGGTACGAGTAGAAAGATCTGTAATTATATATCTTGGGTGATGGTAAAGTGTAAAGGTGGACCTTAGGGTCATTAGGTCCATCATGGACCTTAGGTCCATTGATCTTAGTTAACCATTAGGCAACATTAGGCCCATTATAAGTATCTGTCTTTGCATGTTTTTTGCTGTTTTTTTTAATCAAGTACCTAATTTATTAGTACTCCAGTATATTGTAGCATATCATAAAAAAAGCAACTTCCCATTCTTCATAAAAGCCTCCGTCTCAGTCTTTAATAGTATGATGTAATTGTACCACATGACACTCGTAGCAGTATTCTGCCTTTTAAAGAATTACATTATTCACAGGTACCTGGGAAGTTATTTTTCAAATTTGTAAGAAAAAAATTTCAACTACTGTTGTATCGGAGTCTAGGAGGCGTTGCAAACACTGATCATTTGTGAAAAAATGTTGTTATTACAGTTTGTAAATATATCAAAAATATAATCAAATGGTGAAAGCTGTTTGATATTGCTTATGTGTGTATACATCTATGTATACTATAATATGATGAATGTAACCATTTCTGCTAATGAATACAAGAGAATGGTGAAAAGGCAGAAAGCATTTTTGTTACCAATCATAATTACTAAGTGACTCATTATAAGGGCCGAAACCATGATATTGCATGATATTTCTTTAAAATTGTATCTATTCTTATCTTGCATGAATCCAAAAGGTGATACGCTTCAAAATGGAATCATACTGTATATTTGTTGTCACATTTCCAAGGATTCCTGAAAATCTAGTAAAGAATCTGCCCACAACCTTGAGTTATCTTGCTGATAGATCCTGTTCGGAGGTAACTGGTAAAGAGCTCCAATATAAACCATTTAGGCTCATCATCGTCAACATACAGCATATGAAATGAACGTAAGAAGAACTCAACATTGACTGAATCAGTAAGGGCTCGATACTAAACACATTTGTAGTAAAGTGACCATGTGTACATACCGTCATAGGTGCCACTCTCCAGCAGCAGCCCGCTCTCGTCCAGCTCCCTGAACTCCCCCACACTGATGAAGTTGTAGTCCACTCCAGGAACCTCCCCCTCCCTGGGCTGACGAGTGGTACCTGCAGGCCAACAGACAAGACAGAGAGTGAGAACTTTAAGGCCCATCCTGCAATGCCACTAGGGGAACCAGGAGCAGTGGTTGTTAAAGCATAAAACCCAGGGGCCATCTCTGTGTTCATACTCGGCTTTGTGCGTTTTCTTGGGTTGTGGGCAAACCGCAGCGCCCGGAGGAACCCACCCAGACACAGGGAAAAAAAGGAAACCCTGCACACGGTTCCCACTCAACCACTGTGTTGCAACCACAGGTTATAGATCTTCAACTTGCGGCTAAGCTTGTATTCCCTTGAGAAAGTTCTTTGGATTCAAAACAAAACATCGGGAAAACCTGCTAAAGGAAGTGATGGGTGAGCAACCTTCCTTTGTTAAGAGCTTACACAAACTAGCCTAGCCTAATGAAAAGCACAATTGTGATGAATAAAACGGTATTTTAAGGTGCACAACAAGCCGCCTGTTTGTTGGGACTTTTAGTGTCCTTTTTTCTACACTTTATATAAATGGCTCATACCTAGATGCCACATAAAAAATACCACAACAAATCCAGAACTCAGGATATTTTACCACCCAAAGGAACATCAGAGCAGGCACTGAATTAAACAGATACAATAAGTGTGTGTGTCCAACGTCCCCATTGGGACCAGAGTCCAGTCCAGATACCCTTCATGGTAGAAACTGTGTCTACATCATGAATAGTCAACAGATCTGGGACCACAGCACAGCTAAGAACTCATTATTCACACCAAACACTGGGACTCCCTCGACGAGCCTGTCAGGGACTGTCTAGCAAGGGAAAAGTTAATCAGATGAATTTAATTGTACATCTTGACATTTTAACTACAACACCGCAAATAAGAAGAGAGAAATATGACATGATAAACAGACACCGCAATGCAGAGAAAAACTAACTTTTTGGACTGACTTCTTCTTGAAAACTTTTTCTAGAAATAAAAATTCATTTCAAAAGTGTCACCCAGCCTGGAGAGAAACAAGTTCGTCTTCCAAAGAATCAATAAAATATTGCACAGATAAATTAAAAAAATTCAATTAAAATTTTTCTTTGTGGCAGCAGAAAACAGATTTATCAAATGTATTCTAATTATTACCATCTTCAAGATTGGATTCTATTTGCAATGTCAGTGCAATACTTGGTTCATTGGTTTTGGATGAAAAGCAGAAATGTTTTAGATGGGGAATTTTGCTACTCCGCCACTATGTGTCATGAAATTCACAATTTTGTATACATTTTATTGAACCGTTTGACTCTATATGCATTTGTATATGTATTTATATTTATATCTTCCCAGAGTGAGAGTGAATCAGTCTGCTCTCCAGAGCTCCCCCACGTGCTGCACTGTGTTCAGGGGACAGCACAGGACAGAGCTGGACTTCATCCTGAACCAGATGTGATTGCACCACAGTCATAGAAGGTCCTCAGGCGGGACCCTCCATGGACCTTCTCACTTACCGACAACTGAAAAGGGTATCACTGATTACCAAAGTGTATCTGGAGAATCCACACTCCCTATACATTCTGTAGCTCATTTGATGAATCAAACTGAGATTTCAGATTGTCCTGGTGACAAATGTTAGTGCTTGCGTTGTGACAAAAATGTAAAATGCTTATCAATAAACATGAATTAGAGTGAAGTTATTGTTCTTTGTGAGCAACATTGAAAGTTGCTTTATTTTATTTTGTGATCTAAAACGTTTATTTCTGATGTGTTAGCTTTGCTTTCCCGGATGAAATCTGTGAAACTGTAAACACATCGTTCTGAAAATCATGTTCTGCTTTTCCGATGAGCCACTCATCAGCAGCGATGTAATCAGCCCTGACCCTCATCTGCACCAGATCCTGCCTGCAAAGGTCTTTGATAACAGAGGGTCTCAAACTGTGGTGTGGGGAGCACTACAGATGTTTATAGATCATGTTATGATTGTCAGTCAGTTTTGTTAAAAAAATTTCACGTTATATAACATTTTTTTAAAATAAAACACACACCGTTCGCCCTCCGCGGGCGGTTATTCCTCTCTAAGCTCGGGTCGTGGGAGCTTGAGGGTTCTGCGCAGTATCTTTGCTGTTCCTAGCACTGCACATTTCTGGACCGAGATTTCCGATATATATTAACGGCTTATCAAACGAGCACGAGGTTAATAAATGTTTTTTTATATGACTATCTTTAATTTATGCAAATATCGATCGGTTTTAACTAGCAAAAACACATGCAACCAAACTGTCAAATCGTGACATGAAGAACTTGCTTATCAGATGATTGAGGTCGCCCGCTGGTAAAATTCTCAACCTCTTCTGTGTCTTTACCAATGCTTTTTAGATACATGTATTTGTGAAGTATGTTCATGTCCGACTTGGTTTTCCTAATTGTGTTTTTAGTTTACTGGTGTGTAACGAAGTTGTCAATCTCTTCTTGGCTGTTACGAGTTGTGTTTTCGTCGTTATTTGCTGTTATTACTTCCTCTGGCTCTTAGAACTCGTCCGGATAATAGTATTCACTGGAGAATGCTCCCAGTCGTCGCTCACTATTTCTTAAAGATATCAAATTTGATACGCGCTGCGGACCAATTGTTATGGTAACGGTCCGAGATGGGAAAATATCAGACCGCAAATCAGCCAATCAGAGCGCGCGTACAGTACGATCCAAGTCATATAATAAAATATATTATTTATATATATATATATATATATATATATATATATATATATATATATATATATATATATATATATATATATATATATATATATATATATATATATATATACATATAATGTGTGATTTTGCATGTGCACTTACAGTTTCACATGCAAGATTCTGTGATTTGGATAATAATTGATGCATGCATTTTTAATAGTGTCATAATAGAGTGGATGCACTGGTCACCCATTTGTCCACCCAGTGACACCCAGTGTCAAGGATATGGACAAATGACACATGATTGCAGTTAACATTTGCAACAGCCTGCTCAAAACGTATACATTCATAAGAATTAAGTTAAGAACTATATGAATTATAAATGATGTATGATAGAACCAATCTGAATACTAATGTGAACCATGGATCTATAATAATATCTGGATAGGGTATTACTAGCTTATAGCTGTCCCACCCATGGGCACAGGGGGCACCCGTGGTACTACAGACTAAATTCACGAGGGCTACCCAGAAAAAAGTCCCATAGATCTCAATGTAAACTAAAACAGCTCGACCTCAGCTGACAGAGAACCTACAGCTTTCATAAATGTCGGATTTTGTGGGGATTTTAGTGTCCCTTGTCATCCTGAAATTTTTTTCTTATTAAATCCTTTGGTTTTCTTTAAATCCACACTTTACAGCCACAAACTCTGCTTCTTTCCTTCCCGCTCTGACTCCACTCTAACGCTGCTCTGATCAGCAGCTCTGATTGGTCAGAGCGCGGCCGAGCCTCTCTGTGCACGTGCGTGAGAGCCACACATGGTATTTGGCGGGACGCATCATGGGGGATAATCCACTGCGCAGAACCGGGAGGACCAGACGATGCCCAAATACAGGCGAGTTAGGCTAATCTCCCGGTCTCCGTGAAGTCCCATGCGCTACTGAGCACAAGCCATTCATTTGAATAGGGCGCCATCTTGGATCACCGGGGCTTGATGTGAACCCTTCAGAACATTCAACATCCTTACTTCAACAGAGTGTTGTAATTATCTTTAGACCAGTCCTCATCATACTGAGCTTTGGGTGATATTAGATTCTTTTTGTAAAGTGCATCAATCGTGTTATTCAAATAAACGTTCCTTGTATTTCAGAGTCCTCACTTTAAACCTTAATAAACTTCTCCGGTTCTTGTTTGTATCTGCAGGATCTCCTCAGGGCTCAGTGTTCACAGACTGATTGCTCAAAACCTTGTTTGTCTGGAAAAACAGTTCAGATGTGTGAAAATGCCGCCAATGCGGATTGGATATGTCTTGATGCATTTACCCGTTATAACACTCACTCCATCCCACCTAGTTTGCATCATTTATACAAAAAAACATTGTACACACCAGTGCAACTGTTAGACTGATATATTTATTGTTTTGATGACATTTACCGCATTACCACTATAAAAAAAAAGAAGAAAAAAAACCTGAACATTTCACGACGTTTATATCCAAACATAGGATTTAGAGACTTTAAAAAAGGGAGCGTGTGAAATAAGATAAATATTGCATTGGCTCTAATATATAGGCATGTAAATATATCCCAGCAATAATTTAGACATAACTCAATCACTGGCAGTGTCTGCCCCGGTGCAGAACAGAAATAATAAGAAAAACATCCAGAAACCTTTCATTTATTTCTCCAAAGTTGAAATATAGAGAAAACAACAAAAGCTGGCAAAAGTTGGTAAAAGTCTCTTGATGTACTTTCCAGAGTCAGTTTAATGAGCGCAGACGTGCTTATGGAGAACAGCATCTGCCACAAAGAGCGGCAGACATTAAAATTATACTGGCACATATGCTACTGCAACAGGAGGCCATCAAGTGACTAATACTTTTTATTGTAATTTTACTATGAGCCCTGTTACCAGGCAAAGTATCGTTTCAAATGTTTCAAATGCAGTTAACATTTCTCCTGAAGTTTTAGTCCAGTTTTGTAAGCATGTATTTTTGTGTTTGAACTTCAGGTCAGGTCTGAGAGCTAAATACAGACCATAAGGAATTCACAAAAAGATCATGTCGCGAGCAAAACACGGACATCAATTAATTGGAACCATGCCAAAGGAGACAAGTGCTGAAGCTGATGGCAAGTAGAGCCTGGTTGCTTCAAAAGTTCAATGGTAAAAAGAAAAAACTCTTCAACCCCCTCCCTACTACTTGTGAAGAGTGGGGCTCTCCTCATGCATTTATTTAAGGAGAGACAGGTTGCCTATGCTGACCAAACTGTGTCGGTCCACAAATGAAAAACTTCCTTCAACTAAGTATTCAGTCTGGTATTTCTTGCATAATTGATTCTTTGCCTATGTGTTT